GGAAGCCTGCTTCTCCCTCTCCCACTCGCCCTGCTTGTGTTCTCTCTCTATGCCTCTCTCTGTGAAATAAATAAATAAAATCTTAAAAAAAAAAAAAAAAAAGAAAGCTTCCTATAAAACACCAGAGACAGTCTTTTGATAATCGGCCCCATCACCCACCTCCAAATAGTAACAGGCAACTACTAATTCAGGAAAGGATTGACAGGGAGGAGAGTTGGTGTCAGACCTAGTCTATTTGACACCCAGAGCAGATGATTTAAATCCTCCTCTTCTCTACTACATATTTTTAGCATTTATTTTTATCATGAAATGAAACTATACCCAACATAGAAGGCCTTACATATTTCAAAATAGTTCCAGACATTCGATAACTTCCTCTTTTGCTTTTTTTCTTTCTTAGGCTCTACTGATTCAATGTCTTTTCATGTAAAGACAGTGCCCTCTTCACACTAATCTAGCACTGCTCTAAAGGTATTTCGTAGATGTAATTATAGTCCCAAATCATTTGGCCTTAAGAGAGGGAAATGATCTGTGTGGACTTGACCTAATAACATGAGACTTTTAAAAAGAAGAGTTCCTCTGGCTGGTTGAAGAAACCCCTAGAAAGGAATCCATCTTGGCCAACACCTTGATTTCAGCCTCACGGAGCTGGGAACGGAGACATGAAGACATGCTATGCCCAGACATCTGACCTATAGAACCTTGGGCTAATAAGTGGATGTTGTTTTAAGCCACTAAATTTGTGATGAATCATTATGCAACAATAGAAAACGATTACACCCTTTATTGCTTGTACCCAGGAGGACCACTCCTACCCTCTGCCCTCTGTACCCACCAGTAAGAGACCTTAGGGGAGAATGAGGATTTTTCCTCTCCACCCAGCCCTTGAATAGGGAAACAGACTAAACTCTGCTCCACACTGCCTGACCGAGGCTAAGACAGGGTGCTCTGACTCTGCCTGGCCCCTGTCCCTCATCTCCTTCCCTGAGGTGTCCCCTAGAAGTCTTTGACCTCTCCTGCAGTCTTGAGGATCACTGCTTTGGTAAAACCCCATACTTTGCTTAGTCAGTCTGTACCTTCGGATGTTCCAACAGTTTCCATTTTTAATATTGTAAATATGGCTACCACAAATATCTTTGTACATAAAACTTTGTCTGGATTTTGGCTGGTTTTCTTAGGATAAGAAATGCTGAGTCAAGAGCAAATGAATATCTTTAAGACTCCTCATATACACTGCCAAACTTTTCTAGAAAGATTTACCAGTATATCATCCCGTTAGGGGAGCATGATGTCCAAGGTTATTGATCTAAGCTGAGCCAGAGATTGTGGCTCAAAGACTTAGGAGGTATTTCATGGGGAACGCCACCTTTTCATTTTACTTCCACTCTCTCCCGCTTAGTGAACCATCTTCACTCCCAAGTTTCCAGTCGTCCACTGGGAACTTCCACAGGGAAAACCCAAATGCACCCAAACCTAACATGCCCTCGCTTATCTTAAAAGAGTGGTTTCGTTAGGGAATCTGGTTGGTTACCATCAACGGTAAGTTACCGGCTTGTCCCAGACGCACGTCGACCGGGTCAGAGAAGGGACGACGTGCGCTGCGCACAGCAGCTTTGGGAGGTTTGCGGGTGTATACGTAAAAGCGCCTGCGCACCAACGCACAGGACGAAAGGGTGACGAACATTCGTCACGTAGGTTCGCCAGGAGGCGGTGCCCGAAATACAGGTAACCGCGCCGGGCACAGAGACGCGATTCAGGTGATGCGAGCTACGGACGTCGCGCACCAGAGCCCAGCTTTCGCGCCTTAGGAGACACAACCGCGCAGCCGCCAAAAGGTAGCCGGACCGCCAGGCGCGGACGGCGGGCGCGCGAGCGGGCGTATTAGCGTTTCTGCGCACGCGCCCTTGGACGCGCGGCGGCGCGCGGCGTCTGGGAATAAGAAGGAAGCCGCGGGGAAGGGGGTTGGGGTTGAACCCGGCTCGCGCATGCGCGCGCCATGCAAACCATTTGGCGGGTTTTCCTGGTTGCTCTGTTCTGTTCCAGTCATTGAGATGATCCGCGGTAGTCTTGAAGCAGGACGTTCTCCCCAGAAAAGCGAGATAACGAGATTTCCTCCTCTTCCTTCAGGCGTTTGGGGGCTCCTCCCACATTAAAAAGAAGTGTTTCTCCGTGACTGACGCCGGGGGCCTTCTGACCGCCGGAGGGCTCGGGCCATTTGGTCCTCTTCCGTCTCGGTCTCCGTGAGGGGGAAAGGGTCCGAGGAACCTCGTCCTTCCCATCAGCCTCCACGCCGTGAATTCCTTGAACTCAGGTCCGAGCTCGGTGGGCCGGGCCCCCGGCCTCCCCCTGGGTCACCATGAGCGTGTCCGCCCAGCGCCTGCTGGAAGAGTTGCAGATCTTCGACGTAGATTGCGAGGAGGCTCTGACCGAGAAATGTGAGTCCCTCGCCCTCGCCCCCGCCCCGGACCCCAGCCGAGGTCCACGCTCCCGCTCCGTGTTCCCAGTCCCCTAGAACCCAAAAGGGAACGCTTCCAAGTTTCCCCTTCCCTAGAGCAGACCTCTTGGTGGTTGGGAGACGACGTTTTAAACCAAATTTCGAGATTTGGGATGTAGGGACTTTGAAACGTTTGCAGTGTACTGCTTGGATCCCAACTCAAGAATAAGGATACGAAGCCCGACTTTAAATCAACGCGTTTCCAGAAAGGTGGAATTGGGACGGGCCAGGTTCAGACTAGGCCCGGTGGCACGAGTTGAGAAATTCTTTAAGCCCCCACAACAGAACAAGAGATGTGGGGGTTTTGAAATGTAACTTTTTATCCCTGGCTCCTCCCTTTCCAGCCTACACTTTAAACTTGGGCTGATCCATCATTTCTCATCAAAGCTGTTGGTGGTCTGTGCAGATATGAACCCTTGAGGTGGATTCCCAAAATTGAATTTTAGCTTGTCAGCTGTTTGCAGAGGGAGAAACAGACAAGGAGACTGCTAGTCTGTGGACCCCGGTCTCCTCTCCTCAAGTCCGGTGCTCCCTCTTACTGGTCAGGCTCTGGGGCAGGAGGTGTTTGAAGCAGTGTCTTGGGAGACACAGAGTTCTCAGTTTTAGAATCAGGATGAATGTGCAGCTGCCTTAACTGTTCATCAACGCTTGGAACTTCTTTTTTAATGTCTAAAACCAGAATGCAAACATATTCACTTACCATGAGATACCAAAATACTCCAAGTTCTTCCACCCGGTGCATTTTTTTCCAAAATGGTAGTCCTTCCATCCCACAGAACTAGTTTGGCAGGGGTGTTGGACTTCTACACTTTTTTTTTTTTTTTTAAAGATTTTATTTATTTGAGAGAGAGAGAGCACATGAGAGGGGACAGGGTCAGAGGGAGAAGCAGACTCCCCGCTGAGCAGGGAGCCCGATGCGGGACTCGATCCCGGCACTCCAGGATCATGACCTGAGCCGAAGGCAGACGCTTAACCAACTGAGCCACCCAGGCGCCCTGGACTTCTAGGCTTTTAATTCATAATCACTAACCTGAGTGGGACTTTAGCTTTGCCACCTTCTCCTTTAACGTCCTTCTGTCCCCCTCAAAGCTGATGAACTTCTTGTCTCACCAAGAAAGTAGAAACAATTAGAAAACTTCCACCATTACTTCCTCGTACCTACCTCTCCTGCCCTCCCATTACAATGAATAAATTCTCCCTATTCCTAGCAAAATCCAAACCCTCCACTTGAGTCCTAAATCCCATTCCTTCTCGAACCTTCTTAAGAACATCACTCCAGTAATTCTAACCTCTTACATATTTTCTATTTTTCTCACTATAAGAGTTTTTCTCCTAATAGCATAGAAGTGTGGTTCTTGCTCCGCTTTTAAAATACTTTATTGAACCCAGTCCCCGGTTCCAGTTCTCCTCCCCAATTACAGCAAACCTCTTCAAAAGAGTTGTCTATATTTGTTGTCTTCAAATTTTTCCTCCTTCAGCCCATGTAAGCTTTTTCATCCCCAGTGCTTCACTGAAATTGCTTCTCTCAAGGTCACTGGTGACCTTAAGCTAGCTACACTCATGGTGAATTTTCAGTCCTCATCCGGAATTAGCATTTGACACCACTTGTCATGTCTTCTTCGAAACGCGTTTTTCTCCTAGCTTCTCAGACACCACGCCTAATTGTTCTTATCTTACTTGTCACCACTTCTCAGGCTCATCCTGAGTCCCAAATACACACGCTTCCTTAGGGACTCTCACCTGGTCTCTCGGCTTTTCATCCCATGTGTTGCTGATGATTCCCAGGTGTATATTTTAGCTTGGACTACTTGCTAAACCGCAAACTCATCTGTCCAACTGCTAGTTGGATTTGTAATTGGCACCTCAAACTCTGTATGTCTAAAAACTAAGCTCCCGTATGTCCTCCCGCTCCTCAGTACTTCCTCCTGCTGTCTTCCGCACACTTCTAGGTGCTCAGGCTGAAAACAGCATCATCCTTGACTCCTTTTTTTCTTCACCATCAGCAAATCCCACTGGCTTTACCCTCAGGATGCTTCCTATCTGAAGTCCAAGCACTTCTTCCCACCTCCTCTGCCACCACCTAGATCCAAGCCACCATCATCTCTCACCTGCACTTTGCCATGGTTCTCTTAATTGGTCCCCCTGATTCTGCCCATGCCCCCTTCGTTCTAAACTTAACACAGCATCCAGAGTGATCCTGTTCAGTGGAAGCTGGATCATGTTATTGTTCTGTCAGGTGCCCCCCTCTAGTGATTTTCTTTTCTTTTTTTTTTTTTTTTTTTTTATTTATTTATTTATTTGACAGAGAGAGAGAGAGACAGCGAGAGAGGGAACACAAGCAGGGGGAGTGGGAGAGGGAGAAGCAGGCTTCCCACCAAGCAGGGAGCCCGACGCGGGGCTCAATCCCAGGACCCTGGGATCATGACCTGAGCCAAAGGCAGATGCTTAACAACTGAGCCACCCAGCTGCCCTCCTCTAGTGATTTTCTAAGTGGCTCAGAGTACTAACCAGGGTAATTATAGTGGCCAACAGTCTGCACTCCCTTTACCCTTGAACTCCGTCTTCTGCCTCTTTCCTCACTGTGTTCTAGCCATAGTAGCTTTGCTGATCTTGTTTCTGCCTCAGGATCTTTGCTTGAAAGCTCTTTCCCTAAAAACTGCAGGGTGCCTGGGTGGCTCAGTTGGTTAAGCGACTGCCTTCGGCTCAGGTCATGATCCCAGGGTCCTGGGATCCAGCCCCGCATCGGGCTCCCTGCTCGGTGAGAAGCCTGCTTCTCCCTCTCCCACATCTCCTGCTTGTGTTCCCTCTCTCACTGTGTCTCTCTCTGTCAAATACATAAGTAAATAATCTTTAAAAAAAAAAAAGATTTTATTTATTTGAGAGGGAGAGAGAGAGCGGGGGAGGGAGGGGCGCCTGGGTGGCTCAGTTGGTTAACCGTCTGCCTTAGCCTCAGGTCATGATCCCAGAGTCCTGGGTCGAGCCCACATTGGGCTACCTGCTCGGCAAGGAGTCTGCTTCTCCCTCTGACTCGCCCCCCTCTCATGCTCTCTCTCTCTCTCAAATAAATAAAATCTTTAAAAAAAAGAGAGAGAGCAGGGGGAGGGAGAAGTAGACTCCCCGCAGAGCAGGGACCCTGACCTGGGGCTCAATCTCAAGATGCTGGGATCATGACCTGAGCTGAAGGCCCATGCTTACCGGACTGAGCCACCCAGGCGCCCCCAGGTTTATTTTTCTACACAGCACATTTAACCATCTAACATAACACAGATTTTACTTCCTTGTTGTCTGTCTCCAGTAGTAAGTTTCATGGAGACAAGGATTCTTCTCTGTGTTGTTCACTGCTATATTCTCATGCCTGGAACTGTGCCTGGGACTAGTGGGTGCTGAAAAAATATTGACTGAAGAAATCGAAGATTGTTTTCACCTTTCACTGGGAAAGCTGCAAGAAATGAACTGTGTTCTTACCTGTCCACCTTCCTTCCTGCAGTGGTGGAGCTCTGCATTCTGTATGGACAGAACGAGGAGGGAATGGTAGCTGAGCTTATAGCCTTCTGCACCAGAACAGGGAAAGTTTGCCTCACCTCAGAGACCCTGAACTCTTTTGAGCATGAGGTAAGAACAAAATGTAAGGAAACTAATAATAAAATTCCCCATTTCTGCTCTTGAGGGAAGGCGTTGTGATGTATTGTGAGAAGAGTATGGGCTTTAGAAACAGATCTGGACTCTGGTCCCAGTGTGCACTTGGGCAGGCTACATAATGTCTATCCCTGAGCCTCCGTTTCCTCTTATGTTAGTGGTTCTAATAACCCATATTTTTTTTATGGTTATTGTAAGAATTAAATGAGAGTGGGTCTAAATCACCTAAAACTGTGTATGTCAAGTGGTAGGGCTTCAACAAATCATTGGTGGGGGTGTTAGATATAAGTGGTTGCAGACAGTCACAGGATAACTCTTTGTTTTTAGCTTGTCATGCATCATCTTAACTTAATTCTTACTTGGAGGAATTTTATAAATTAGATTATATTTTGAATGCCTGTTATTACCTCATGGCGGTGGAAAACACCTCCTCTGTTACTTGACTATGGAATAATATCTTCATTATCTTTTATTCCTCAGTGTCTGAGCAAAAAATTGTCCAGAGTGCCCAGGGATGGTGGGCACGCGGGAGCTAGAGACATTGTCTCCATCCAAGAGCTGTATCCTTTCCTGCTGCGGGTCTTTATATAAAGCCAGGGGCTGTATTTGGTAATTTGTGTAATTTAAAAACAAATAATAAAAGTACCTACTATTTAGGGGCGCCTGGGTGGCTCAGTCATTAAGCGTCTGCCTTCGGCTCAGGTCATGATCCCAGAGTCCTGGGATCGAGCCCTGCATTGGGCTCCCTGCTCAGTGGGAAGCCTGCTTCTCCCTCTCTGCCTGCTTGTGTTCCCTCTCTCACGTTCTCTCTCTCTGTCAAACAAATAAAATAAAATCTTAAAAAAAAAAACTTAAAAAAGGTACCTACTATTCAGGTTTCTTATTTAATCAACCCTTGCCTTAGATTTTGGGTAGAAGTCTGTTTTTCTTGAGCACTGTTTTTAGAATCGAAGTGGAGGAAGAAGAAGAGAGCCTCTTGAACTCTTACACCACACCCTCTAAGGTGAGTATATGTTTGGAGATTGCTTTCTATGAATAGCATTTTTTTTTTTTAATTCTGAAAACATTATCGCAACATTTGAAGTTCTGAGGGAGAACAGTAGCCACCCATACAGTTCCTACTATGTTTCCACTTACACATCTTCCTTTCCTGTCACAGCCATAGCTGTGTTTATGTAATGGCAGTCCTTGTAACCATATACCTATCCTGCTTTTTTCAATTAGCATAAACATCATAAAATGTTCATAAATATGGTTTCTCCATAATTACTCTTCATAAAAGTTGCAAAGTGTTGTATAGGTGGAGGTACTATAATGGAATGATGCAGTTCCAGTGTTGGATCCCAGCATGAGGGGTAGGATAGGGTAGTGGAATAGTATTGCCCTCAAAGCCTGAGTCAACAGACCTAGGTGACCTTAGGTGAGTTGTTTTATCCCTCTGAACTGCAGTTTCCTTATCTCTGAAGTCCCGATGCTACCGGTCATTTACTGAGCAGCGGCTATGGGCCAGGCACTGTACACTGTACTAGCTGGGTGAGCAGTGGTGAAAGAAACAGGCATGGCTGGGCTCTGCCCTCAAGAAGCTCAAATTTGTAGAAATTCATAAACATGGAGTAAGCCTTAATTTTTCAAAGTCAAGTTACATTGTGAGAAAGAAGGTAAGTAGTTTAGGTGTGCCTGTGGAGAGCAGGAAAGCTAAAAACACGCACTGTGAAGTTGCTGACACAAGACAGGCGCACATAATGTATTATGTGGACATACTGCAATTTTTCTTAGCTTAGAATTGAAGAGACGTAAAATCAACGTTTGATTTTCCCCCTAGAGGTGCTCCTGTCCTAGAGCCCATATCTTACAAAAAAGTGCTTCCATTTTGGGGTTTGCTCAGGCCAGGAACCTTGGAGACCTCCCTGAGTCTTCCTTCTCTCTTACACTCCACATCCAACTCATCCGCCAGTCCTGTCAGCCTTCCTTCTGGAATCCCAGCCCTCTCACCTTGTCCACTCACCACCAGGTCCCCAGCACTGTCATCTCCTGAATGAGCAGGACAGCTTCCTGTCCTGGCTTCTTTCTGCTTTGTCCACCTCTGAGCAATTCACATAGCAGCCACAGTGCGCCGTGCTCCTTTCAGATGCAAGTCAGGCCAGGTTTTTCTGCTCACAGCCCTCCACTTGCTCTCCCATCTTCCCTGATAACATTCAGAAGATGTGTGAGGGTCTGTCTGAGTTTGCCCTGCTCCCTTGTCCACTTCCCACTCCTCCTCACTCTGCTGGTCTTGCTCTTCAGACACACCAGACATGCGTCCACCTCCTCTGTCCCCTGTCTGAGGGAACAAACCTGCCTACAAGAGCAAACCCCTCCTCTTTCCCTCCTTTTCTTCTCTTGCTTTACTTCTCCCTGTGGAACTTACTACCATGAGACAGGTTATATATTTCCTTGTTTGCTTCAGTCTGCCTCCTTATGTTAGAACAGAAGCTCCTTGAGGGCAGAGACGTTGCTGTTTTCCCAGAGCCTGATACATTAATCATTGTTGAAGGGCAGACCTTCTGAATAAGAACGGTTGCTTGGCTCCCTAAGCAGCATCAACCAGGATTGCGGAACCTAGTGGGGCTGCCTCATGTTGATCTGATTGACAACCTCACAGGTCCAGAATTTGTGATTTGTCTGTGTATCCAGAGTCGATTATGTTCTTGGGGACTGACTCGTGGTAATCCAGCTCTCAGTAGACTGACGCATAGGTCAGATGCAAATTTACTTGATTTCCTATGGAAGTATATGCCCCTCCCATGACGGAAATACAATCCTGAGGACTCCCATTCCTGCCACGAAGGTATTTAGGAGGCCCAGTTATGAATCACAGTTGGTGACCAGGGAATCAGAGTTAAGTGAGTCGGACTAAAATGAGCAAACAAGATGAAATACGTGTCTGAAGCTCAGAGGAGATGCCACGTGGGTCTGGCCTGGAGAAATGTAAAATACTTAGAACAGTACCTATCACATGGAAGCCGCTGGATCATCGTTAGGCCATACATCAGTGGCCTCCCGACAGAGTAGTCATGGGGCTGAACGTTGGCCTTTCCCTCACAAACAGTGACACAGCGAGGTTGCCAGGCCCTTGTGGGGTGTCCGAGGCAGGTGTACCTGTGTCGTAGAGCCGAGTGTTCTGGTGGCCTTGCCTGATCGTTATTAAATATTTGCCTGGTACAGTTGACAGCTACTCCCTTGCCTCCACACTCGTCATAAATCCCCTGGTGATAATTTGGCTTTCTACGTGTCCTGTCTGACATGGAGGGGATGTGTTAGCCTGCTGATTTGAAGTTCCCATGCCTCCAATGTTATATTTCTAGTACATTAATAAACTGGCAACCTGACCTATAATTTGGGTTTCTGTGTGGTATGAGAATGTGCTTACCCCAGGATATGAGAATATGGTATCCTCAGTCACTGTATTTCTCACTGCAAATGAACAGGCATGCAGCGTTAATAGCAAATCTCATGAGCGTGGTTAGAGTGAGTGCATCCCTGAGAAGCGTAACGAGTTGGCCTGTTGACACCATTGGGTTGTGCTGCGAGGGCTGAGGACAAGGGCCATGAAACTGCCCTATCTCCCAATGTGCCATTCTCTTGCCATGTCCCGGGAGATGGACTGTCTTTGTCTGGAAATACCCCCACACAACCTTGGCCCTAGAATTCGACAGCCCCTGTGGATTACAAGAGTCGTTTGAGAAAATATTCCAAAACCGTAAAATCTTACCCATCCTTTGGCCCAGTATTTATCCCTAGTCAGAATCTCTCCTAAGGAAATAATCCAAATTATGGGAGAAGCTGTCTGCGTAAAGATGGGCATCTCAGCGTTATTTGTAATCATCCCAAATTACAAGCATCCCATACATCCAGCGGTAGAGAAGTAGTTATGTCAACTATTATGTATCAGTTTAATCACAGCTACTAAAAAGGACAAAGGTGAGGATGTGGGAAAACGTTCATAGTTAATATAGCGTGAAAAAAATTAGTATATGTAATATTCAAATAAAGTTTTACATTTAAACTAAGATTGCAAATATTAGAATTTATATATTTTTTAAGTTGGAAAAATATGAAAATACCAGAAAGGAGTATTAAAAAGTGGTTATTGTATAAGAGCAGTAGCATCAGGTTCTTTTTAAAACCTAATTTCCGTCCTGGCTACTTGATGGTCTTTCTTGCATCTGTTGTGTTCGTCCCCAGTTGTCACCAGCAGGCAACTGTGGTGGCATAACTTCGGTGCGCCGCCAGGAGGAGCCCAAGGGCAGGGAATCCTCTGCAGACCGGCTGGCCTCCTGATTGCGGTCCCGGCAAAGATTTTATCTCTGCCAGAGTCAGCTATCCTAGACTCTGGGGAGCAATAGATCTCTGAGCTGTGGGTCTCATCCTCCATCCTGGGCATACCTTTGGATTCTTGCTGATGAGCAAAAGCCAGAGAACAGAAGTGACCATCAGTGAGGCATTTGCTAAATAGACTAAGAGTTCAAGCATGTTATCTGCCTGGAGTCATTCCTTTCTCTAATTTTGAAAACGTGCGGGGGACTTTGCCAAAATGAGTAGTAATGTGGTCCCATCCCTTCTCAGGAAAATGTGTCTGCGCAGGTCAAAACTCCCAGCTGTTCTAAAGCAAAGGGGTGGGGAAAGAAAGTGACCATGTGAACAGTTTGATAGGACAGATTGCCTGCTTGGCAATCATTTCTGTGAAATGTTGATACTTTTTCATAATTGCCTTCAAAATCAGGACAAGATACCAATGGATTGGTGATAGCTGCTCAAGATTTCTATATGGGATTATGCTTGGAGACGGGGCCTTAAGAAGGGAACCAGCCCAACCCTACCTTGTGCCCTTCACTTGGGCACCATGCTTTTCTTCCTAAGGGGCTGTACCCTCAGGTAGCAACTTGGGTCTACAGTGACTGGGATCTTGTTTTCTGTTTTGTTCCCAGGGTTCTCAGAAGCGAGCTATCACCACCCCAGAAACCCCCCTAACAAAAAGGACTGTGTCTACTTGGAGCCCCCATCAACTCCTCTCGCCATCAAGTTTCTCTCCAAGGTACAGATCAGAATGAATCCAGCTGCCGGACAGCTGGCCTGCCCTCCCCTTTCTGTGGTTGTCAGGGGGCTGACCCTCCAGAGTGACAGACTCAATACGGGTGGGTGTGTACCTCTGTGGTGCCTGACTTGAGAGCCTATTGCTCTCTGCCCTCCCTGCCTTCTCTTCCTGTGTGGAAAATTACCGTGTCTTCCAGTAGTTAAGGAAACTCACTTTCCACCCACTTTTCTGGGGCTCATTTCCTAGATCAGGAGCAGATATCTTCTCGGGAAAACAACTTGTCTGTTCAGAAGTCCACGAGTCTCAGGAGTCTTGCCAATAGAGACAAATAGGTTTCCACCTGCCTCTGTTAGTTTTGGTATTGTTGGGTTTCTTCTTCTCCTTTTTCTTCTTTTTCTTCTCTTCATCTGTAGTATCTGTTTTTTTTTTTTAGGATTTTACTTACATATTTGTCAGAGAGAGAGAGCACAAGCAGGGGGAGTGGCAGGCAGAGGGAGAAGCAGACTCCCCGCTGAGCAGGGAGCCTGACGCGGGGCTCAATCCCAGGACCCTGGGATCATGACCTGAGCCGAAGGCAGACGCTTAACAGCTGAGCCACCCAGGCGTCCCCAGTATGTATTTTTTAAAAAGAATAGCACATATCTGTGTTCATCCTGTTGTATAACCTGTTTATTGTTCCTCTCTCAGGTTACAACTAGTTTCTCAGAGTTTGCGTGTCGCTGTGAATCTACACAGACTTAATTGGCATTTTTATCCCTGCTGCCACCTCTGCACGTAAATCCACAAAGATCACATGTGATTTTTTTTAAATCCGTAAATGACATGTCTCCTGTTAGAGAATTCCGTCGGCAAAGGCCCTGCCAAGTAGAAGAAAGTCTTGGTGCTGCCAGGTCAGGATGAGGCTAAGGACCCGTCACATTAACCATTTAGGGAAATAGGAACTGCCTGTACTGTGGATCCCTTGTAGACAGAGGAGAGCTTAAGATTGTCCAGCTCTGTCGCTGGAGAAAGGAGGTGACAGCAGTCACTCCAGGTGAGTGACCAACAGGACTGGGAAGGACAGTTTCTCTAGTGTAGTCCGCTGCTGCTTTCGGGAGTTCTCAAACTGGTTTGGGAGGCAAGCTTTCTAGACGTACAAAGGCATCTTTGAAACTTGATAGGTAGAGACGGTTTTCATCAGCTGAGCCAGCACTATGACAGCAGCTACACTCTCTAAATAAGCAGTCCCCCGAAGCGTCACTGCACTAAAGGGCCGGCCATAACCGCTGTCCCACGGAGCTGTGTGGGGAGGAGCTCAGAGAAGCCGGCGGTACGCTGCCTCGGCATTTTTTAATGCACGCTAATAAAGCTGACATCAGAAACTGGTTTTGTAATTTATGAAAGTAACTTCTAAATTATTCAGGTAGAGGCAGCGCGGAGATCGAGATCATTAATTGAGCTCATTTTCCATAGCCTCTGTGGGAAGAAGTTGCAGTATTACCCACATAAAACTGGTTCCTGCAAAGCTTCGGTGCCTAAAGCGCAGACTGTTTGAAAGCGACCTCTCTGCAAGCTGTGTTCCCATCCAGAGGATTAGAGGCCCGCACTGCCTTCCGAGGAGCTCGGCGATGTTCATGCTCTTGTTTACCAGGCAGCACGTGGAAATATGAGAACTTGTCAGTTGAGCCTAGGAGAATAGGAATGTTTGTTCACCAGCTGACTGAATTCATTACATCTCCACCTCCACACACACAGGGGAGAGCTGATGAATTCCTTTTAACTTCATTTTATTGTGGTGTCTACCTTGAACTATGTTGTGAGGTACTATAGATGCACGGCAGTTTTGGGCTTATCCACAGCCAGGCTCTAGTGCTAAAAAATTATAATAAGTGCTAAAAAAAAAAAAAAATCATAAGAGGGACACCTGATTGGCTCAGTCGGTTAAGCATCTGCCATTGGCTCAGGTCATGATCTCAGGGACCTGGGATCGAGCCCCGCATCAGGCTCCCTGCTCAGCGGAGAGTCTGCCTCTGCCCCTCCCCCGCTTGCTCTCTCTCTCGCTCTCTCTCTCTCTCTCTCTCACACAAATAAATAAAAAATCTTTTAAAAAATTATAAGAAAGAAAAGAAAGTGGTACTTTAAACTCACTTCTTAATCAATCCAGAGTTTGGTTTGGTTTTGCTTTGTTTAGTTGTAAGCTAGGAGAAAACCTTTTTAAAATATGTCTGTGTCTCGGGCGCCTGGGTGGCTCAGTTGGTTAAGCGACTGCCTTCGGCTCAGGTCATGATCCTGGAGTCCCAGGATCAAGTCCTGTATCGGGCTCCCTGCTTGGCGGGGAGTCTGCTTCTCCCTCTGACCTCCCCCGCCCTCATGTACTCTCTCTCTCTCATTCTCTCTCTCAAATAAATAAATAAAATTAAAAAAAAAATATGTCTGTGTCTCTAAACTTACCCTCATTCCTGAAATTCCTTAAAGGTCCGGGTATGTCCAACCCCATTAAGCTGATATAAAATGTGAGGCCAGCTTGACGTTTCTCCAATCCCCATCTCCAAGTAACCTCATTTGCTTCGTCTCTCTCTTTAGATAGGAACACAGTAACGTGCATCTGTTTTGCTTCCAATCAGTGCTACTCCCTCTCAGAAATACAACTCGAGAAATAACCGAGGAGAAGTGGTTACCTCCTTCGGCTCAACACAAGGAGTGTCTTGGTCTGGAAGAGGAGGAGCCGGTAACATCAGCCTGAAGGTCTTGGGGGGTCCAGAGTCACTCACCGGGAGCTACAAATCGATGTTTCAGAAGCTTCCAGATATTCGAGACGGTAATTGTTTTTCTCTTTGCGATTCTGGAAAATATAAAACCACCTGGAAGGGTGTGGAGTAGGTAACAAAGCTTCAGCTAGGCTGGTAGAACAAGTTCCGAGGTAGCCTTTGAATATAGAAGTTGGTAGATGTCCTCTGGGTACCCCTAGCAGTGGAGGGACATGAGGTGACACTCTGAGCAATTCTCCCATGTCACTTCGCTTCCCTAAAGAAAAAGCACATAACCATTTCCCAGTGACAGCCGTTTGAACTGTGTAGAGGAAGCCAGTGAAAGTCAGATATTTATGGTTTCTTCCTTATAAAGAATGGAAGACTCTCCACGTTACACTTGACTCCCCCCACAATGATGGCCAGAATGAAAGGAAGGCTGGGTTGTGGACATCCGTGCTGACTCTTGGGGATTGTGCCACATGATCTGTGGCCAAATTTCAGCCACCAAATATTGGGAGATTGGCTAAGGCTTTAGAAAGAGGTCCTGGGCACCCTCCTGCTTCTGTAAAATGACTGACTTCAATATTTTACGATGCGCTGTATCTTCTCTTCTTGACAAGTGAAATGTCCTAAACACAGTACCTTTTCCCTTCTGGGCTTTCAGTTCTGACCTGTAAGATAGAGGAACTTGGCAGTGAACTCAAGGAACATTACAAGATTGAGGCTTTTACTCCTGTTCTGGTCCCAGCTCAAGTAAGAATTGTTCTAATAGTCCTTCCTAATTAATATTGTATTTTTAAACTGATGGTAAAAAGGCATCTTTGCTTCCTTTTTTACTTCTTGTCTACATTCTAGTTAGAACATCTGTCTTGGTCGGATTTGATAACATGGATCCTTCTGAAGAAAGACTGAGAAGTGCTCTCTGGTTTTGTGACCAGAGATGGTCATTTTCTTTGCACTTGGATTAGGGTCTTGCACATAAGCAAAGACTGAGGCCTTTTCCTTTTTAGTGGTGAGGCAGGTAGCCCCCTGGAGATTTCCCACAAATAGAAGTGTTCAGTGATCAGGATATGAGGACATTCCAGGAATGGTGACCCATAGTCTCTCCCCTAGTTTGGTCTCTGTCCTTATGGATCAACTGTTGCCAGTAGTATCTTTAATTGTAGTTTAATCTGGCATATGTTCAAGTGCTTTCTCTCTGAAACACTTTTTAATCTAAGGGGAAATGTGTTCTAGAAGATTCCTTAAGGCACCTCTGTCATTGTTTGCATTCAGAGAAGATTGACCAGTTGGGGAAGAATGCAAAACCATGTCATATAAGGAAGTTTGGGAGGAATTGGGAGGAACTAGTAGAGGGGAGGCAGGGATGCACGGTCTTGTGGGGAAAGATTAGACTTCCTCAGACTGCCCCCTGTAATGGGAACAGGACAGAGGAAGCCACAGGGAGAGAAATTTCAGCTCAATTTAAAGAAGAACTTCCTGTTAAGAGACAATATGGTGTGTGGTTAAGAATCTGGCTCTGGAACCAAACTTCAAACCCAGGCTTGACCCACTCTTTGACCTTAACTAAATTACGTAACCTGTTACTGATTTTTCTCTTTTGTAAAGTGGGTCCAATAATAGTATCCACTTCACCATCATTGTGAGGATTAAACAGGTTAATACACGTAAGCCTTTAGAACAATGCCTGGCATTCAGTAAGCTCAATAGATGTGAGCTATTAATGGTTGAAACTATCCAGAGATGCAGTGGGCTGCCTTGGGGTGCAGGAACCAAGTTTGCCTTCACTAGAGATGCCCAAGCTTAGATGACCACTTAGAGGGGTTCAAGCATTGGGTGGGTGGGCAGACCAGATGCCCTGAGAGTCACTGATGATACTTATCAATATGATGCCCCTGCCAAAAAAATCTTTCCTGCTTGGGATTTGCTTTGCTGTTCATTCTGTTGACCCCAGATTTTGAGCTCCTGTCCCCAAGACTGTCATTCGTATGTTACACCTTCGGTAGGAGCCTGTTACTCTGCTGGGCCAGATTGGCTGTGACACCAACGGGAAGCTGAACAGCAAGTCAGTGATTCTTGAAGGAGACCGGGAACATTCCTCGGGGGCTCAGATTCCAGTGAATTTATCTGAGCTCAAAGAATATTCTCTGTTTCCTGGACAGGTGAGACGGGTTGCATGCGTGCTGTTTGCTCTATAGCGTGGGTGGTGGGCAGCAGTAGGATAAGCATTTCGTCACTGGCTGCCTCCTACTTTCACGAGGTGTGGTGGGAGCACCGGCTCTAGAGCAGACAGTGGTGTGGGGATTCCAGCTTTCCCTGAATGCTCTGACCTCAGCTCTGGGACCTGCTGCCCGGTTCAGCCTCCAGCTCCACCCCAGCAGGGTGTGTCACTCTGGCCAGGTTCCTTATCGTCTCGAAGTCAGCGTGTCTTCATCTCTAAAATGGGAATAATAATTCTTATGTCATAGGATTGTTAAAAAAATTAGGTCATCCGTATAGAGCAGTTATTATTACTAACACAACCCCCTTAATTTGTTTTCTAGAAAATACCCCCAAGTTTGTAATTATAAAATGAGATAGATGGACTTAGTACTTAATAGATTTTTTTTTTTTTTTAAGTAAAGTACCCCCGACGTGGGGCTCAAACTCATGACCCCAAGATCAAGAATTGCATGTTCTCCCCACTGACTGGCCAGGCGTCCCAGTACTTCTTTTTAACTATATCAAAATAGTTTTATTGCCAATCCCTTGTTCATCTCCCGTTCTGCTGCTTGTCCTTCAGGTTGTAGTTATGGAAGGAATCAACACAACTGGTAGAAGATTTATTGCCACCAAAGTCTACGAGGTACGATGGCAGTTGCCCCATCTTCCCTCCTGCTTTGCTGCAGACACAGTATGTGCCGTTCTGTCTGTCTGGAAACTCAGGAGAACCTATTTATTTGCTTCTCAATTCTCTACAGAATCGGAAGCTGCCTCTGGGCCCCCTTGCAAACCATTTCTGTAAAGGGCCGTACAGTAAATACTTGAGGCTTTACAGGCCATACGGTGTCTGTCACAATGACTCGGCCATTGTGGCTCGGAAGTGCCGTAGACAGCCTGCAAACCAATGAGTGTGGCTGGATTCGTGAAAGCAGGCAGTAGCCAGAACAGGCCTACAGGCCCTAGTTTACCTACCTCTGCTCTAGGCGATAGTCCTCCACAGATTTGCGAGTAACGTGAGCAAAAGTAGCAGATTCCCTGCTCTCAGATCCTTGCCTAGGATACTGGTACCTCAGGCACCTGTGTTCTCCCACCTTTTGCTGGGTGTTATGAGTTTAGCCATGACCTCCCATTACCGGGGTTTCTTTGCTGCTCTCGTGCCATATAAGTACCATCAGTTCTGTGAGCTTTTAGCTCCAGGGAGCAAGACTGAGGCTGCTTTCTTCCTTTTGCCTCTCAGCCCTCCCCCACCACCCTCCCTCCCCACTTGCCGAAGCTGTGGTTCCCCAGTCTCGTTCAGGGCCCATCCCCACCTTTGTTTTAACCAAGAACTCAGTTTAGTTTTTCTCCTGTTTTTAAGGGCGTGCCACTTCCATTTTATCAGCCCACCAAAGAGGATGGAGGTAAGTTTGGGTTCAAGCATTGTTTTGCTAACAGTGAGGATGGTGGATGAGGGTCGTCCAGGTTCCTCAGGCCGCAAGAAAGCTGCCAAAGCCACCTGGGAGCACCCCAGTGGAGGCAAGGGAGGACAGCGGATGGGTGGCTTCACAGGCCCTTGGTGGTAGGCCAGGGTCTGAGCCCCCTGAGAGTGACCACCTGGGTTCTGGCTACACGAGGCATGCCATCTGTATCTGGAAGTTACTTTATAAAAGGCAAAATAGGGGCGCCTAGGTGGCTCAGTTGTTAAACGTCTGCCTTCAGCTCAGGTTATGATCCCAGGGTCCTGGGATCAAACCCCACATCGGGCTCCCTGCTCAGCGGGAAGCCTGCTCTTCCCTCTCCCACTCCCGCTGCTTCTGTTCCCTCTCTCGCTGTGTCTCTCTCTCTGTCAAATAAATAAATAAAATCTTTTAAAAAAATTAATAAATAAAAGGCAAAATAGGAATAGTTTCTTTCAGTGCACTGTGGTGTCCTGGATGGGATCCTAGAAGAGAAAAGGGACATTAGTGGAAAAGCTAGTGAACCCCAAATAGTTAGGAGTTAACAATAATAAGCCAGCATTAATTCCTTTGTTTTGTTTTCTGAAGATTGATTTATTTATTTTAGATAGAGAGCGTGTACACGGGGTCGGGGCGGGGCAGGAGGCACGCCCCATACAGCTTGATCTCACAATCCTGAGATCATGACCTGAGCTGAAATCAAGAGTCAGACACTTAACCGACCGAACCACCCAGGTGCCCCTGGATTCATTTTGACAAATGCACCCTAGTCAGGCAGGGTGCCGGCATTCGGAGACGCTGGGGGAAGGGTATATATACAAGAACTTGGTATTATCTTTGCAGCTTTCCGACGTTTCTAAAGTTATTCCAAAATAAAAAGTTTATTAAAAAGTTAGACAAATTTCTGGGGCACCTGGGTGGCTCAGTCGGTTAACTGTCTGCCCTCAGCTTGAGTCATGATCTTAGGGTCCCCGTTCAGCGAGAGTCTGCTTCTCCCTCTCCCTCTGGCACTGCCCCTCCCCACTGCGCTCACGCTCTCTGTCAAATAAATAAATAAAATCTTTCTTTAAAAAGTTAGACAAGGGCGCCTGTGTGGCTCAGTCGATTAAGCGTCTGCCTTCGGCTCAGGTCATGGTCCCAGGGTCCTGGGGTCGAGTCCCACATCGGGCTCCCTGCTCCGTGGAGAGCTGCTTCTCCCTCTCCTGCTCCCCCTGCTTGTGTTTCCCTCTCTCGCTGTGTCTCTCTCTGTCAAATAAATAAAATCTTTAAAAAAAAAAAAAAGACAAATTTCTAAGGAACCTAGAGTTATCTGGTAACTAACCTAGGTGGGAAAGGACAAAAAGAAATTTTAACAGACTGCTTCAAAATAATTCAAAGCATTTTTGAAAGCAAAGCAGAAGACTGTTGAGGACTCGCAGTGAGATGACCAACTCTAGGGTATTGTCAGCACCCCATGCACAGTAACAGTGTGTGATGAGGTCATTCTTGGCGGTGACCTAGAATCAGGAATGAAATTTAGGAGTTTATGACATTGCACATTGCATTAGAAGGTCCGTGTTGCTGGCAACAAGAGGAGCGTGGTGGTATTAGATCCGCTTCAGGTGGTGGGATGAAATTGATGCGGCTGAGATGCCCAGAGCCTGAGCTGTGTGCCAGGGAAGACTGCAGAAGCAGTGGAATAAGTTATTAACATTTTTGACCTAGGTACTGAGCTAGAATCTCAGGGAGACACAGAATGAGAAGTGGGCCTTCCTCTCCTGGCACTTGCTTTCCTCCAGGGTTTACATCTCCTGTAGTCTCCTCCGAACCAGATTTAACTTTGTCCCCTGCCCTAGCACTGCATGAAACAGACTCTTCTCCCTGAACTCTTGATCTTGCTTCATGGTGTTACTGCTCTGGTGGACAAGTAACGGCCTAATCCCTGGGACGGGGGAGTAGGTTATTTTATATGGCAGCAGGAACTTCGCAGCTGTCCTTCAGTTAAGAATCCTGACATGAGGGATTATCCTGGATTGTCCAGGTGGGCCCAGTGTAATCACAAGGGTCTTTATAAGGGGGAGAGCAGAAGGATCCGCATCAAAGATAGAAATGGTAGGCTGCTGGCTGGGAAGATGGAGGAGGGCTCATGAGCCAAGAAATGCAGGTGGCTTCTAAAAGCTGGAAAAGTCAAGGAAACCTCTCTCCTCGAGCCTCCAGAAGGAATGCAGGCCTGCCAAAACCTTGATTTTAGGACTTCTGAATTCCAGAACCATAATCATAAATACGTGTTTGTTTTCAGTCACTAAGGTTGTGATAATTTTTCAGAGTAGCCATAGAAAACTAATACAACTACATGATAAGTCAGAGATCTTTGGGTTTTGTTGGCGTAAGCTACAGAAACTGGTTCAGACTAACTTAAGAAAAAAAGCGAATTTGTTAGGGGAAATCCAGCTAGCTCACAGCAAGGATTGGGAGCTAGAAATGCAGACTCAGAAGCAGATAAGGACCTCACAACTCTAGGTGTCCAGCTAGCAGGAATTCCCCAACTATCTCATCCAGTTACCTCTGGCTGGAATACATCAGCTCCACCCTTTTTTCTGTTCTTAAATGATTCACCTCGAGATTCCATTAACCAGGGAGGAGAGTGTGGATGGCTCAAAGCCAATTCTGTGAGAAAAAAGGCAGTGCAGACAGTTGGCCAAACATCACACCTCCCTACCCCTCACACAGGAATCCCAGGCCAGGCCTCACACCCAGCCCATCTTTGTGGACTCCTCACCAGACCACGTTCTCCATCACACTGGAGCACAGATGTTCCCTCAAACCGCACACTCTCCAGGACCTTGTCTTGCCCTTGCTCCTGGGAAATTCTACTTACAAGCATAAGCAAAGTGAAATAAACCAGTCACAGAAAGATAAATAGTGTATGATTCCACTTACGTGAGATGCTTAGAGTAGCCAGAATCCTAGAGACAGACAATAGAACGGTGGTGGCCAGGGCCTGGGGGAGAGGGAGCTCATGTTTAATGGGGACGAGTTTCGGTTTGACAAGAGGAAAAGAGTTCTGGGAATGGGTGGCGGTGATGATTGCACAGCATTCTGTATTTATTTAATGCCACTGAAACGTATGCTTAAAAATGGTTACGATGGTAAATTTTATGTTTGTGTTTCATCACCATAAAAATAACTAGGGGAAAGGCATGAGCAAATCTCACCTTGATCAGGTCTTTCCTGATTGCTGCATTCTCCCATTGCTCAGTGTGCTGCTAGCAAACAGCCTGTCACTCCCTAGTTATTCGCATACTTCCCTGTCTCTAGCAGCTGATGGAGTATTCTTTGAGGGTGGGGATGAGATCTTGGATTCCTAGCGTTGTACACTTAGGGAGACTCTTAATTAATTGAATCCTGTGGCATTTTTCCCTAATTGCCCTTTCTCCCACCATCCCATTATCTTTTAATCAACACTTTGTGATCCTTTCTGTCTTAGATTTTGAGCAACACGTGGTCCTGGTGGCCTGTGGGCCATACACCACATCCGACAGCATCACCTACGACCCTCTGCTCGATCTGATTGCCACCATCAACCGCGATCAGCCTGATGTCTGCATCCTGGTAGGAAGCCCTCCTGGGACAGCTTCACTGGGGGAGGCACCAATGGGAAAACTGGGGAGGAGACCTTAGAAAAAGATCCAGGGGCTCCTGGGTGGCTCAGTCAGTTAAGTGTCTGACTCGGTTTCAGCTCAGGTCACAATTTCACAGTCATGGGATCAAGTCCCGAGTCAGGCTCCACACTGAGCATGGAGTCTGCTTCAGGTTCTCTCTCCCTCGCTCTCTGCTCCTCTCTTTCTCTCCCTCTCTCTCTCAAATAAAGTTTTTTTTTAAAAAGCTCAGTGTTGTAGGAGGCAGTACACCTGGTTAGGGGGCCTTGGCGGCCTCCCTCCATCCAGGGTCACAGCCTTTGCCTGTGATATTGGCTGGGTACTCCCACCCCATCTGCCACCTGGAGGGACAGATGAGCCCTGGGCAGAGAACCGCCAGGAGAGGGTGTGTGAAGGCGCTCACGGACCCGTGTGGTTCTGATACCTTTGTTTCTCTTATTTGCAGTTTGGACCTTTCCTGGACGCTAAGCACGAACAGGTGGAGGTAAGTGACGGGGGCCGGGAAGGAAAAGTGCCAGATACCTGCATCGAGTTGAGCCCTCGCTCCTGTTTCCATATTTTGGACTTTATGCTGCATTTGTAACAAACCTAAATTAATCCCTGTGGCTAATCAGAAAAACACTGTAGCAGGGCATTTTTGTAAATATTTGAAGGCTTCATGTCACCAGAATACAAGGCCATTTGTATGCTGGGGGAGGGAAGTGCACATCTGTGAATCTGGTGTCCCCCTATGAGGCTCGGTGCTAAGGCACGAGCCCCCTCACACAGGCGCAGGTGTCTGTGGCTCCAGGACCCATGTCTTACTGTCCTTTGATGCAGAAAACACAAAAGGCCCTTCTTAGGACATCTCTGTGGCCGAGAGTCGGTGCCTCCCACCCTTTGTCTCAGGATATTGTGCCTTCCATAGAAAGGATTGCAGAATGCTCTTGCTTTTAGTCTTTCAGCTTACATTCTAGAGGATGAATTCCTCCGCCATCCCCTTTCCTGTCCCCAAACAGAGTCTACTCCTTGAGGACAGAGACCACAAACATGTGTCTTTCATCGTACTCTGTCCTCCAGCTCCTCGCTCAACAGGTGGCCCCCGGGGTCGTTCAGCATGCTAGGCCAGTGAATAAAGGCCAGCGTCTGCTCTCTGAATCACTCTCCTTCCTTCTCTTGCAGAACTGCCTGCTCACAAGTCCATTTGAAGATATTTTCAAGCAGTGTCTGCGGACAATTATTGAAGGGACACGCAGGTCAGAATTCAGACTGTTGGACAGAACCTTACGCTACCCGGTTTCTCCGGGGCAGGAAGTAATGGTAGCTCGTGTCCCTTTATCCTTTTGAACTCCAGAGATCAGATCCACCTCTTGACTCCCAAGTGCACTGACGCCGGGTTAAGAGGCGTCTCTGAAATACAAAGACAAACACGCTTGACAGGAAAAGGCTGCGAAGACTTTCGCTCTTCCCTTGCTTGCCCTTACTTCCTTCCTTTTCTCATTCCCTTTTGTATAAACTCCTATTCCCTGGGAATCTTCCCAGCTGATTCTGAGAAGTGTTTGATGAGTTCCCCAGTGAAATCCCTGGGGGCCCCAAACATCTTGATGCTTGAGGGATTGTTTTGGGGTGAGCCCAAGTCCTTCCCCAGAGTCAGAGCTGCCCCACGTTTCACAGGACAATGCAGACGGCCAAGCAGGCCGTGGTAGAAACTTGGGGGTGCAGAGAGGAGATCTTGGATCCTTGCCATAGACCAAGGGGCAGGAACTGTGAGGAGAGATGTGCAATTCTAATTTGAGAGAAAAGGCACTATTCCAGGAAGAGTCTCGAACTACAAGTAGGAAGTTATTCAGGAAGCTAACATCCTCATTTCCTGCCCCTCTCCCTCCAGGGCCGGGGTTTGAAAGGAATTGGTATAGGTGATGGATCTTCTCCTCTAGGGATTTGCTTGCCTGCGGCTGATCTCATAGAAAATAAACATTCCTGAGGCTAAGCTTTTAAAAACAAGTCTATAACAAAGGTGGTTTTTAAAACAAGATGTATAATCTTCCGCCCATTCGCCGTGAGAACTGATCCCAGAGTCGATTAGTCGTAATAGTACCTTTTTGTATCGGCAGCAGGGCTGGTCTGGCAGGCCTCGGGGACTGGGGAGAAGCACCCCCTAACTTACCTGGGAGTCAAGGGACTCGGCCTGCGCCTGGGTCTGCCCTTTCCCCACTCCCCCCAACCAAATGAAGTTAATCCAAGTGCCTCTTGCCTCCCACGCTGTCATTTATCGTGACGCAGGTCAGACCTGGGGAGCACCTAGTGCCCCTCAGAGATACTCCTCCCCACCCCAAGTGCCAGGAGCAGGGCTGGTGTCCCTGTTGGGTCGGGCCCCCTGGGGATGGCAGGGACCTCAAAGCCATGCCCCAGCAGGCGGGGTGCTCTCAGTGCGACATTGGGTTCTGTTTTTGGTTCCTCGCCCCATGTGGTGGTGACAGCAGTGGGACAAACAAAGAACAAACTGGGCATTGTTACTGTGCCCAGCGCTGCCAGGCACTTTCTTCTGCAGCCAGTGTGCGCCTCAGGGCAGGGGGAGCTGCCCTGCCCTCCCCAAAACAGTATATAAGCGGTCCGTGCTGGGGGGGGTATTTTTATTCCTGAGAGATCAGACGTGCAGAGCACAAAGCTGATTTATCAGTAAAAGCCAGAACTCGAGGAAGTGCCCTGTCCACAGAGCAGCAGAGCCGCAGAGGGAGCGGCTGTGGGGACCCTCCCACCGTGATGCACGAGGTTGTGCAATGCTCAGCATAGTTGGAATTTTCTTTCAGATCCCTCCCCCTACAGCCACTTCATAGCCATGAGCAGGAGGGCTGTTTCCTCCTTAACCATTGCCCTTCCAGCACCTTCACTGAAACAGCGGCTCCACCCCTTTAACCATGGCCAGCGGCACCTCCACCCTTTGTGTCCATCACAGACTGAGCCTGTGGGGTCTGGAGCACAGTTAATCCCGGGTGGGTCAGCCTTGGCTTTGGGTACCGATCATGTACTTCTGTGTGTCACAGGGACTGTAACTAATGTGCAAAGTGGTCTCAAGATCCTGGTTTTCTGTTGCACAAGTCTCAGTTCACACTCTGAGCAGGTATGACAGAGAAGTGACAGATGTGACAACAGTCACCAGTACCTTTATCCCATGGGAAAGGCAGCTTCGGAGCTGTCCCTGCGTCTGGGAAGACCATAGGTTTCAAGCAAGAGAGGAGCTGACAGCGAGCGCTGGTGGGGGTTAAGAATGTCAAAGGGACACTGCGCCTGTGTGGTTTGTAATAGGCCCCTCTGCCGAGGACAGCTGAGGGGACCAAGGAAATGGGATTTTTTTTTTCCTTTTCCTCTTGTGTGTGGCTGAGGATAAACAGTTGGGTCCTCGAGTTAAAGGTTTTTCTTCGCTTACATGTACCGTAGAGATTCCCCTTCTGCCTCCATCAAAGGAAATCTGTTTTTCCTGTTGCTGTTAAATAGTCCTGTCACTCTTGCAAGACAGTCTGCTGAGAAAAACTTGGGGCATCGCTTCCCTATGCGAGAGGGAAGGCCTCAGAGAGAGGCCAGGTGCGCTCTTCCCCATCCCTCGGAAGGTTTGTCTGTCTGTTGTTCTAAGTAGGACCCAGTGTTCCGGTAGGAGGCTGCAGTTTGACCCTCTACGCGAGAAGGCAGTGTGAGGGTGCAGTCATGGCTGGTCTCTCCCTGGGCAGGAGCCCCCAGTCAGGGAGACCAATGCCTGTACACCCCATCTGTGTGCATAGTGTGAAGTCAGAACTTTGGTTTCGTATCTGGCTGCACGTCTCTGGGTCTTTGGTCAGAACCTTGTCTTTCTAGATTTTTCTATCTCCCAATTTCTGCTCCCCCTTTCCTACCAAATAGTCCCGTCCTTTCCCCGGTGGAACACCCCATGGAGCCAGGCAGGACAAAGCACATCCCGGGTGACCTGAGCCTCATTGAGGTAGATGTGTGGAAGTGAGAACAAGGTGTCTTTTGCTCTCAGTGTCCCATGGGAAAGAGCACCTCTCCTCATAGAATTCAGTTCGGAAATTCCTCCTTGGATGGAGGCTCTTGTCTCAAGCCCTGACATTTTCAGTCTGTCGTCCAGCTGTTCTAACTTGACTGCGCTCATTTTTCTCCCTCTTCTGATGGTTTTTGGATGAAGTAGCTCTGGCTCCCACCTCGTCTTTGTCCCATCCGTGAGGGACGTGCACCGCGAGCCCGTGTACCCACAGCCACCTTTCAGCTACTCCGATCTGCCTCGAGATGACAGAAAGGTACCGCATCCCAGCTCTGGCCCCTGAGTGGAGGGTGGAGAAGCCTTCTGGGTGCATGGATAGGACCTGAATCTTAAGCATCTTTCTTTAACAGACAGATATATTTATGATTTACTGTCCATTGGTTTGGCCCCCCTTTCGGTGGTCTTTCCTCCCCTGGGAGACCCCCCCCCCACTTTCATGGGAAAGAAGGTTCTAGCTTTGGTGCACAAATGCTTGTCTCATCCCTTCTTGTTTTAGCGAGTGCAGTTCGTGTCTGAGCCCTGCAGCCTCTCCGTAAATGGAGTGATCTTTGGCCTGACGTCCACAGATCTGCTGTTCCACATGGGAGCCGAGGAGATCAGTAGGTGGGAAGCAGTTCCGGTCCAGCAGGCAGGACGCTGGCTCTCTGGACCCTGGGCCTTTCTTCCACCAAGAAAATCAAGGGGCTGCTTGGCAGAGCCTTGACTGGAAAGTCCTTAGAGCAGCCCTTTGTGCCAGACCCTTTGGCCATTCGAGTTTCTCTGTTCCCAACCGGAGCAACGGGATGCATCTGTTTCTGCTAGCGCTTGTCTGTACAGCGTTGGAGACCCCGAAGAACCATGGCTGTGTGCTTTGCGCTTTGTTTCTAATCCTAGAAGTTCATCTCCTTTTCTTCACCTCCCACACTTGCAACCTAAACAGGACTGGGTGTCCCTGCTCCTAGAGGATGAACTGCCGAGCTACTCAGGGCGTCGGTCTGCAGAGAATCAGACCTAGCCTGCCTGCTGCTGCAGGTCCGGCAGTTCCCCCATCGCCAGGAGTGTGAAGCAATGCGTGTGTTAGGCGAGATGGGTGTGTGCTTGTTGGCTGAGGTCTGAGGGGCAAGGGTCACCCTGACAACACACTCACTGCATGCTGGTGCACTCCTTGCACATTCTTTTTTTTTTTTTTTTTAAGATTTTATTTATTTATTTGACAGCACAAGTAGGCAGAGTGGCAGGCAGAGGGAGAGGGAGAAGCAGGCTCACTGATGAGCAGGGAGCCTGACGTGGGGCCCGATCCCAGGACCCTGGGATCATGACCTGAGCCAAAGGCAGCCGCCCAACCAACAGAGCCACCCAGGTGCCCACTCCTTGCACATTCTTGCACACTGCAGTTTTAGCCAACAGCCTGCTGTGGTCTTGATCACCTGGGATGCCCGCTCTTTCCCGTCGCAACCCAGTGGCCTGCTCCCCTTCTCAGGTGGGAACAGACCGAGCTCTTTGTCAGGGGGTCTTTCGACTTCCCCAGAGGTACCCGCTCATCGCTGTGTGTGGGTCATGTAGCTTCTCACCGGTTTATCGAATCCTCGGTTCTCCCCAAAGAGACAACAGAAGCTGAGAAACAAGGCTCTGCATTCCATTTCTTGCTTCTCTTGCTTTCCCAGTGCTTCCGGAACTTCAGACAGACTCAGCCGAATCCTCAAGCACATCCTGACCCAGAGGAGGTGAGCTCACTCGTGGGAATATCTGACCAGGACAAGTGTGCTTTGGGGTCTGGTGCTCTGACAGATTTGATTGCGAGCACCTTCCTTGGGGCACTACCAGGGAACTACCCCCTGTGATGACGAGCCTGCCTTCTGTCCCCCAAACACAGGGAGGAACAGGAGAGACAGTCTGTGAAAGCTCGGAGGCCATGTGGGAAGAGGGGACCCCGGCTCAGTCACTGCTTACTGTCTCTCTCCGTCTCTCTAGCTACTACCCGCTCTACCCTCCCCAGGAAGACATGGCCATTGACTATGAGAATTTCTACACCTATGCGCAGCTGCCTGTCACCCCGGATGTCTTCATTATCCCATCAGAGCTGAAATACTTTGTGAAGGTAGGTTTGAAGTCTGCTTTTTCCCAGAAACGCCAGGACCCATCTGACTTTCCCTTCTGGACCACTGATCCTCATTCCTCATGTGGGAAATGAGTGGCCTCATTTCTTTGGGAGAGGTGGTAAAGGACGAGAAAACGAATGTTAGTAAAACATTTAGGTAAAAGCCATCCCCCTGCCCCCCTGGGAGTCCCAGGGGCGGGTAGGAAGGCCCTCAAACGGTGGTTGTCACGTAGGGGCCATGTCAGGGTGACCTGGGGACATTTCGCACGTGCACTTGCCTGCCCCCCTCCCCCAAATTCAGATAGGATCTCCATGGGGGCTCAGCCTTGAGAACTTGGAAGAAGCTCTTGGTCATTCTCGTCTCTGCCGCCCGAGGCCCTGCCCACCTGGGGTGGGTCCCTCACGGGGGATCCACCCATCCTGTAGCCCTCTTGCCGAATCAGAGCCAGTTCAATCTCAAAAGGTAAAACTGTGTTCCTGTGTTGGAAAACAATAACCAGGTCAGGTTTGTCTCCCAAGTTGGGGAACTGATTGTTACCCTTCTTCATTCCGCTTCAGAGGCTCAAAAGGAATTCAGGGTTTTCCAATAATAAGTTAACAGATTAGACTTGAGATGTGTTCAGTTGCCTTCCTTTCCATTTTATCAACCCCTCTCTGGGGTCTGACTCTTAGATGATTCCAGCTTTCTCACATCGGCCCCTTTCCTCTCCCCAGGATGTCCTCGGCTGTGTCTGTGTGAATCCCGGGCGCCTCACCAAAGGGCAGGTGGGGGGCACCTTTGGCCGACTCTTCCTCAGGAGGCAGCAGGCCGCGGGCGGGGAGGGGAGGCGGAGTCCGTGCGCTGCCGTCCAGGTGGTCCGGATCTGAGGCCTGGGTGCTTTATCGTCCCCCGTCATGCGGTGCTCACGGACGTCTGAGAGCCCGGGAGTGGCCCTCTGACGGGAGCCCGGCCGTTGAGAGGTAGAGGGGAGGCTGCGGGGCGCGGGCCCAGCGGGCAAGGCATCATGCAGCTGGACCCTGACCCTGAGTCGATCTGCTCTGGAAGAAAGCTGTCGTCGTGGACACGCGAAGAGTCCAGGGCGAACTGGCTGTGGATGCGGCATGCTCGGAAAAGGCAAGAAGACTTTGTGATTTTTCTACATGAATCAGACGCAGGAACAGCTTTTGGAGAAATAAAAGTAAATTCTGAGGGTGACTTCTGAGTTTAATTCCTCTTCCGCTCTTTCTTTTTCCTGGCAGTGAACAAAGAACATTGCCTCCTTGACCTGTGCCCAGTGAAGGTAGAGCATCTGTCACTGGGTTTCCATCCAGCCGCAAGCCTGGTCCTCCCCAGGCCCCCGTGGCCTCGGTGCTGAGGAGGTGTGTTGGGCGGGGGCCATGGAGCCGGGCTGCAGAGCGCGCAGCTGGCTGCGCGCCTGGCCCTCCCTGCACAGCACTCGCCTGTGTGCTGTGGTCCCAGCCTGACCTCTCCATCTGGAGGGGGCGGCTGCACGGAGCCCTGCCAAAGCTGGATTCCCTGGGGCCGACCCTGCCAAGCTGCACAGCATGCGGGGCTCGCCTACAGCCCAGAGCACTTGGCCAGGCGGGGCCCTCTAGGGTCCCCAAACGTCCCATGTGTCCCGGCATTTGGGGAGAGGCCGTCACTGGCTAACCATGGACCGGGTTTTTGCCCAAAGCTGGCAGGCTGTCTTGCGTCCTGTGCCAAAGCCAAGCCCAAAGGGCCCGACTCAGTGGCGGGTGTGATGCCTTTGGCCTGAGTCAGAGATAAATAGGTGACGGAGCAGTGTCCAGCCTTTGCCTCCCACCTCGGACAGTGGAATCCACGGCAGATCCAACCGGGTTTGGGAGAAACTGGTCTCCCTTTGAAAACAAGCAGCTGCGGTTTTGTCTCGTTCATTTTATAGGCGCCTCCTCTGAACACAAGAACCAGAGACAAGCCCCAGCTTGGGGAGCTGATTTTCTTCCTTCTGCAGATCCCCCCGCATGGGAAGCACCCAGCAACTTCGTCTCCAGATGTGCCATTTTGGGAGCCCGGGCCCCTCTCCCAAACCTCAAACAGCTGTGGTCCCCCAGTTCAAGAAGAGCCTTTGTATTTCCACCAACCCCAATGTCCGCTAAAACCCTGCCCTCCACCCCACAACCCCTGCCTTGGAAAACCCTTGCCTGGGAAGATTAACCAACAGGCCCTGGGCCGCGATAAACCAGGCTCTGGGCCCTTATCCTGTGAGCCCATGCGTGGTTCCTCCATGCATGGCAATTACGCCCATGTTGCTGAAGAAGCTTTGTGGGGGAATCGCCATGTCATGGTCCCCCCTTGGCAAGATACAAAGGCCCCTCTCCCCTTATGACAGACTCAGCAAGATCCAGAGTCCCCGTGGGATGGGGCAGTTGGTGGAGGGGGAGGACGGTTCTGCATCCTGTGGGGAGGCTTGTGCAGGGCGGAGGGAGGCAGTGGTGAGAAAGCTGGAGCTCAGCATGAATGGGAGCGCGAGCCTGTTGCCTGGAGACGAGTCGTGTGACTGTTGGAAGTGATCCTGGAGGGCTCTGAGCAGGCATTTAAAACTCAAACGGAAAGCAGGCTGCGGACCCCAGATTGCAGACAGCCCTGGCAGGCGAGCGCCTCTCTGCCCCAAGACGGTTCCCTTTTGCTCGTGTGAGGAAGCCGGTGCCCAGCGTCTGCCAACTGGCTGCTCCTAGACCCCTTTTCAGCTGGGCCACTAATTTCCTGAATGGCTGTCCCTCTGTGCTCATGGAGGGCTCTTGCACCTGCCCGTGCTGGGGCATCGGCCTCGAGTAAGGCTTGAGGAGGGAGGGTGGAGGAAGCCGAGGAACCGGAGCTGGGCCAGGACTCCTGAGACACTCCTGCTTCAGAACCCCCTTTTGTTCGGTGGCATCTCCCCTGGTCCGGGTCGTGCCTGTGCCCTTGAGACACAGATCTAAGGGTGGAGCCGATGGTTCTGAGCAAACAAAGTCCCTGTGCTCTTACCAAGTTCCACGTCTGGATGCCCCAGCCCTCATGCCCTCCCAGGGTCACCACCTCTTCCTCACTCGCTGGTGCTGGTGGAGCCTGAGGCTGCCCTCCCTTCACCCCTGCATGGCCACCCTTTAAGATTCGGGCTCTGTCCCCAGGAAGGGCAAGGGAGAGCTGCTGAGGGTGACCCCAGTGGGTTCTAAGAAGGAAGCCGGGGGACTGGGGCGGTGGGGGCAGCCAGAGGAGGGCTGGGGCAGGGCCATGACTCTGCAGCAACTTTGGGCTTGGCGTTTCCTTTCCCTTGACCTGGGGTCACCCAGCCTGGCTCAGCCCATCTTGCAGCTTCCCCTGGTGCTGGGAGTAGCCTTCTGGGCTGATTTTTCACTTCTGTTTAGTACACGTTTCCTTTCCCCTGACCTCGGGGCTCCTGGCTGAGCCCTCCCGAGAGGGCGTCTTCCTCCACACTTGAGCCTGCTAACTAGCCATGAAGGGTCTTGACTGACTGGGGTGGGGATGGGGGTAGATTTTTTTTTTAACACTTTAAAAATTAGTGAGATACACGACCAGCATCAACTTTACCGTCTTAGTGTGTACCATTCAGTGGTTTTTAGTACATTCACAATGTCGTATAAACATAACTATCGGGCGCCTGGGTGGCTCAGTCGTTAAGCGTCTGCCTTTGGCTCAGGTCGTGATCCCAGGGTCCTGGGATCGAGCCCCACATCGGGCTCCCTGCTCAGCGGGGAGCCTGCTTCTCCCTCTCCCTCTCCCCCTGCTTGCGTTCCCTTTCTCACTGTGTCTCTCTCTGTCAAATAAATAAAATTAAAAAGAAATCATAACTATTGAATTCCAGATTTTCCTCACTTCTAAAAGAAACCCCATCCCCATTAGCAGTCGCTCCCCACCCCACCCGCCAGAAAACACAGACCTACTTTCCACCTCAACAGACTTGTCTGTTCTGGGCACATCACACAAATGGGATCATATAATACGTGGTCCTCTGCGTCCGGCTTCTTTCTCTGAGCATCATGTTTTCAAGGGCCATCCACGTTGTAGCAGGGGTCAGAATTTCATTTCCTTTCTCCCCTTGTTGGAGTACTATTCCCTTGTGCAGATAGACAGTGTTGTCTTTCTTCATTCATCAGGTGATGGACACTGGAGCTGTTTCCACATTTTGGCTGTTATGAATGATGCTCCAGTGTTGGAACATCTGTCTTCAGTGCTCTCATTACATACCCCGGCATGGTGGGGAAGGGGCTTGAGGGTTATGGGGGGAGGGAATGCAAGGAAAGAGGAAGACAAGAGGAAGAAAGAGAGGGGCAGAGGCGCCTGGGTGGCTCAGTCGTTAAGCGTCTGCCTTCAGCTCAGGTCATGATCCCAGGGTCCTGGGATCGAGCCCCGCATCAGGCTCCCCGCTCCATGGGAAGCCTGCTTCTCCCTCTCCCACTCCCCCTGCTTGTGTCCCCTCTCTCGCTGTGTCTCTCTCTGTCAAATAAATAAATAAAATCTTTAAAAAAAAAAAAAAAGTGATGGGCCGGGAACAGAGCCCTGGAGCCAGACTGTGAAGTCAGGAATGCCTGGCAAAGGAGTTTGGACTTGATTCACCCCAGGGAACTTTTGGAGACTTCTGAGTAGAGCAGGAGGACAGTAAGGAACTTGCATCTTAGGAAGGCCTGGTGGTGCCGCAAAGGGCAGAGTGAAGCTGGGAGAGACTGGAGGCCAGAGACACTCTAAGAGCTATCAGAAGACAGAGCCACCTGGTACCCACTCTCTGTTCCCATGGAAACAGTACCCTGATTTCCCTGTGGGGAACCACCGCTCCTCCAAACTCCTCCCTTGCCTAAACCAAGCAGCACATTGCCCCTCCCTGGCCTCAGTGAATGGCCAGGGATAAGCATGACCAAGGATAGTCCAAACACCATGACTCCAGGACTTCTGCAGGAGTGGTAGAAAAGACACGGCCGCAAGAGTGGAGCTGCTGCAGCCATCTTGCCACAATGAGGGGAAACCCATCCTGAATAGGGACTAAACCAGAGGACACATTGCCAGGAGTTAGAGAGGGAGATGTCAGCACCAGGCCACGTTGTCTGAGCTCTGATGAAGCTAGCCCCCACCCCTCAAAATCTAAGCCACAAATACACCCCGTTCTTTCTTTCTTAAACTAGTTGGAATTAAATTTTCTGTCATTTGCAACCAAAACAATGAGGGCCTGATCTGGGACAGCAGGATTGGCATGACTGCCGGGGACAGACAGAGAAAACACAGCTCCGGGAGGCGAGGGAGTTAACATTTCTGAGGGCATGCTGTATGTACTTTGATATAGAGATCACATCTAACTCTCTCAACAAACCCTGCTGGCAGGTGCTAAGAGGTCGGAGGTCACCGGCCTAAGTAAGTGATAGAACTGGCATTTTAACTCCAAACCCATTTTCTCTCCATCCTGCCATGCTGACCAACTTGGTACACGACAAGGACAGACTGAGAAGGAGTTGCAGGTAGCAGCCCAGGTGCCTGGGAGCAGGGGGGGGAGGGGGTTGGAGGAGAGGTGTTTGGGAGGTGCCTGGGACTATTGGGGGCAAGTTGGGACCAAAGGGGGCACCCAAATGGCTATTGGGCTGGGCTATTGGGTGACAGGAGCTGCACTCTGGTGAGGGGTGGGAACTGGACTGCGGACTGGTTGATCTGGGAGTGGAGTGGCCTGCATAAAGCTCACCGCACTCGAAAGCTGGAGAACTGTGAGGTCCTGGGGGTCTGGCAGAGGAGGGGGGAGCTGGAGGTGAAGCTGACACTCCTGGCCTCCCAGTCTGGAGTCACCGAGGCAGGACTCAATCAGCTGCACTCAAGCTTTTGGGCCCCTCTGTCACCCCTCTATCCCTGAGCAGCCAGGCCTATCTGC